CAGAAAGGATCATAATATACTTCTGTTCCAAATTAGTTAGTATATTTGCTACAGTTCGTATACTAAATGTGAAAAAAATATTATGGGAAAGGGTCAGTAAATCTGTAGAATCGTGTGTTTCGTAGAATTAATACTTCTCTCTTAAATTAACATAAATATTTCATATACTTGTAGTAGGATTAGTTAGTAATAACACCATACAAAAATATACACTTTCATCTTTACTAAGTGAGTGACAAAAAAAAACTCTCTCTTCCTCTCTTTTATATATTTCCTTTCCTTTCCTTCCTTCTATCGTTCCTATCCTCGGTAACGGCCATGAACCTGAGTTTAGTTTAGGTGGGACAGTGAACGTCATAAAAAAAAAATCAGCCAATGCCAACACGTCCCGCCAAAAATCAAACAGGAAATACGGATGTGTCAGACTCAATAAAAAGAAGAAAACCACGTACGAGACTCGAGACGCCGCAATGGAGTGGAACTTGATTCGAGGTAGCAGTTCGAGACCCACGGGTTGGAGATTCATCGGCTGTGAGGTCGACCTGACGTACAATCCCAGAAAAGAAAGGATGAATACAACGAATTAATTTCCGTCAACCAGAAGGAGCACAGCAACCCTGTATAAACTCTCAAATCACAAAAAAGAACTATGACACTGTGATCAAATGGAGTCAACAATAAATGGTACTATAGACAGTAAATTAAGGCCTTTACTTTATTTCATATCATTACATACTTACTTTATATGGTATATCTCTATATACCATATACTAAATGCAACAATTATTATGGTACATAGGTATAATGGTTCAAAGTCGTATGTTTCGTAAAATGACTACATTTGTCCCATAATAGTTGTTACATTTGCATTCACATTGCTTATACTAACCTTAATAAATATTTCGGGACAGGCGTATTAATTCTTTAGGGTAGTGTTCCGTATATTTAACCCTAGAAGACTAACTATAGCTATATAGTACTCAGCGCCAATTTTCCTATTTTTAATAACAATTTTCAGTACCTGATTTTCTTACCTAAATAAGATGTTTTCCAGTTCCTATCAATGTTAACTCAAAGTACAAAGTTTGAAGTGCCTGCATGTAAAATATTTCAAATAAAAATTTATATTTAATATTTGTTTTTGATATTTTCAAAATCGGGCATGATATACCGATGGTTAGTAGTAGTGTAACTTTAATTGATGGTTACTTTTCTAGGGTTAACTATTTGTCCCATAATAATTGGTACATTCTCATACACATTTTATACACTAAATGTAACAAATATGCTGAGACAGGATCGCATATTTTGTAGAATTAATACATTTGTCACATAAGAGTTGTGACATTTGCATACATATTTCATACACTAAATATAACAAACATTATGGGAAAAAGGTATTCTTGCGGATCGTGAGTTGGGTCAAGTTAACTACCTGTCTCTCGTAATAGTACAATATGAAAAAAATTATAATTTATTGATGAAGGCTATTACATAATAGATACTTTCAGAACGAATCTTCAAATAAAATATCAGTAATATGGAAAATATGGATCCCATTTTAATAATGTAGAGAATTTGCACCGTTTAATTGAAATGGAATAAAAAAAAAACAGGAAACGGGAAACCGATAAATAATTCACTGAAGTATAAGAAAAAGAATAAAGACATATGTCAAAAAGAATTTTAAAAGAAGATACAAAATAATGGCTATTAATTTGAAGAAAGAAGTAGGTAAAAAAAAAAGTGAAATGGGAAAAAAAATGGTGAAAAAAGACAAAGATACCATGAATGGAAAAATTACAAGCAAAAGATAGAAAAAATCTTCACTCACTATTATTCTCTAACAAAAAGAAAGAAAGAACGTTTCAAGTGAGTAATTACATGTCTTCACGCCAGAGATAAACAACAAGAACAAGAACAAAAAACAAAAACAAAACTAAAAAAAAAAAAAAACACGCGCAGGTCATACATGAAACACAATTAGCGGGAAAAATTGAAAACTCCTCGACGAAATTGCCTCATTTACAAAATATTTTCTGTGATATTAAAGGAAAAAAAAATCATTACGATGTGTTTGTGAAAAATATTAACCTGGGAACCCAGACATACACACAGAGAAATATAGAAGAAGATATATATATATATATATATATATATATATATATATATATATATATATATATATATATATATATATGTGTGTGTGTGTGTGTCGATAGATAGATAGATAGATAGATAGACAGAGAGAGAGAGAGATGGAGAGGTAGCTACAGAAACAGGTATAAAGTAAGTATAATACCAGTATCTGTGTCCTTACACCAGTATTAGTAATTAATACAATATATTTTGTTCTGGTTTTATACTGCATAGTTTGTTTTGCATTCTCCAGTTCTCAACACTTGTATTGAGCCTTTTTTAAATTAATTTTATGAACGTTTGAATTTATATAATATTCTTTTACATTTGTATATATATATATATATATATATATATATATATATGTGTGTGTGTGTGTGTGAAAAATGTATATAAATATAAATATATATATGTATAATTATTTATATATTATATACGCGGTACTTATTAGAAAGCGCTCAATATCAGAGATAGAGCTAACATATTTGGTTGGATAGATGTGAGTTTGTGACCCTGGGTTTCACGCTTTAGCGATCGTCAGACAAACTGATTAATGTTTTAAAAAAATGGGTTTATGTAGATTGCGTGTATTGGTGTTATTGTGGAAGTGGTGGGGGAAATTTCGTCGTTTTGTCATTCATCGTACTAACGCAAACATCGATGTATGCAGACACATATACATACTTGGTCGTCCGTCGGGACTCATACATATATAAACATATGTGGGCAGTTTCGGATATGACATATGTACATATCTACATAAACCCAAATTTTTTAAAACATTAATCAGTTTGTCTGACGATCGCTAAAGCGTGAAACCCAGGGTCACAAACTCACATCTATCCAACCATATATATATATATATATATATATATATATATATATATATATATATAATGAGAGAAAATAACAGATGGAGGAAATTCAACTGTTCGTAGCATTTACTTTTTAAAAAGTACTCAATACAAAGTAGACCAATATATTATTATTATTTAATTATTATAAGAGAATACAATAAAAACATTACATAGGTACTTACCATCGCCTCAAGAAGTACAAGCATAGAATTGAAACATGAAAACCTTTGTTTGACACTTCAAAAATATTTTTATTATGATCTTTTATAATATAATATAATATAATATGTATATATATATATATATATGTGTGTGTGGTTGTTCTATGAAATTATATCTAATCATACCAACTTATTCCATCACAGTTTTAATTGAAAATATTTAATCTAACTGTATCTAATATTTGTTAAAGCTCTATCTAAAACAATAAAAGATTTAATCAATACTATATAAGAAACTCAAACTTGAAGGAGGAATTTACTCGATCGTCCGTAATAATTGTTAAAAACAAAGAACTTCAACGAATTTAAATAAAATATTATATCAACATAAAATGGACATTTTACATAACAACCAATTAAATGCATAAATTGCACTCCGTAAGGAGACTAACGACACAGACACAAATACATACATACACTCCTAACTCATTTTAACGGATAGAAACAAGAAACGTTGGTCTGATAATGTCCATTGCCCGTGGTTACCGACGCTGTAGTCACTTACATCAACAATTACATAAAAAAGGAAGAGTACTAATATAGTATTTTCATTTAATGAAGAAAACTATCCAATCTGACATTGTAAAATACCTGTATTCTGTAAATATACACTATTTTGTAATACTCTTAAAAATACATCAAAAAATATATTACCAGTAATACATTTTTGAAACAAAAAAATACCGGCAATAAAAATCATGTCCATTGAGTTTGATATGCTGTGAAAGAAATAAACCAAACCAAACGAGAAGTTCCTTTGCATGGGCGAGACAAGAACTCTCCCCGGACCAGACTGCATCCACGTGGGGCTGCTTCCAAAACCATGGCACCGTTTACTATTGGAAATATGTCTTCACCAGATATAGAAAATTTCTCCGTCTTGTAGTCTCTATGTTGGGAAAAATCCCGTAACTCGCTTTCAGTCTGAGGAATATATGCTCGCTAGTGACTTAGAATATTATAGCTCGAATCTCCGTTGGGAATACTAAATATGGCTTTTCCAGAAATTACGAAGAGTCATCCAGCAGCACAAATTCATTTTGAGAATTATTACAAGTAAGTCTCTCTCTTTTCGTCAGTTTTTCAAACTTCTTGTTGTAGACATGTGTCATAATTTCTCCGCGTGGGACACGTATAAATATGTGTATATAATTTAGTGTATAATTTAGCGGTAAAAGTCTGTCTCTGGGAACATAGCATGTTTGTCATTTGTTGGTTCTATTTATTGGGAATGACTGCAAAAATTTCCCCCTCCCCAAATTTATGATATTATTACTCTGTATTCTGAAGATTATTTAAGCAAATTTTATAGACCAGACAAGTCAGCAAGGAATGGCAATAGGCGGCAACTGTTCACGGCACAGCTTCATGGTCATTTAACCATCTTCCTCACCAATCTACCTGACACTTACACTTCCCCCCCCTCACTTTCCCTCTTGCCTCTTCTTTTTCAAACATAGATACGAAAAATCACATTTATTTTAATCTTAACAGATACACACAAGGCGCTTTAACACAAAAACCTTAACACTCATCCGAGCTACAAAAAAAAAAAAAAAAATCCTTCGTAAAAACACAAAAATAAAAATATTTTATTAAAAAAAAAAACGGTATTGGGGTTTATTGCCTAGCCAATTTCATTTAATTAATTTTTGTTGATATTTTATTACTGGTGTTACTATGTATTTCACATTGTGATAAAATATATATGTATTATTTTCTCCAATACTTGGGATACGAATGATATTGATCAAAATTAACGCCTTCTGCTAAGGGAGACTTATGGCCACATCAAGTTAAAACACTGTTCTCGTTCGACCACCGAAGTTAAGCAACTTCGAGCCTAGTCAGTATCTAGATGGGTCTCCATTTTGGAATATCAGGTACTGTATGCTTCGGTAGGGTAATGGATAATGGCTCGGAATTGTTGATCTGAGAGCCGGATTCCAAATTCAGTTGGGTTCGTTAATTTCACTTATGCGAAAGGTAAGAATACACCTTTTCCATATGAGTTAATTATTGAGACTTATTTACGTAAATCATTATTATAGCCCCGCCCACCAAAAAAGAAACAAACTTACAATCTAAAATATTTTTCTGGCTTTAAATAAGCTGAAAACTGTTGATACACCGAAGGAAACGAATCAGTCAATCCCGTGGACTGAGAGGTTGGACTCAAGATAAGTCTTTAGAAAACAGAAACACTGTTGTAGAATTGAAATGAAAGCGGTTATGTAACTTGCCCTGGGTCAATCATAAAAAATATTCAGGATGTGTAATTATTAAATGCTGAACACTTCAAAAAAAGAGGCCCAGGCATTGTAACGGTTATAGGCGCGAAAAATGAATTCGGTGTGCTGAGTTCAAATTTAGCTCGATTTTCTATCGTTCATTTCACGCTAACGCCCTTAGAAAAGGCATTTCATGCATCTTGCTCCAGGTATGGATTAAATAACTGATCTCTTTTTGCCTTGAAGCGACAACCATTCGATTAGAAGGGAAATACCGTATTCAAAAGCAGCTTGAAGTGGACTGGGCCCCGGTAGACTATCTTGGCTTGGACATACCACTACTGCCAATCTCCGCGGTAAATTTGGTGCGTCTACGATCCTCCTGTGTACCGGCACTCACACATACACACACACACACACACAAACACACACACACACACACACACAAACACTCGCGCGCGCACACACTCACGCACACACACACTTCAAACACCTCTAAACTGCATATAACATAATGTATGTTAAGGATAGTTTCACCCAACACATATCGTTCTGGGTATGACGTTAAACTACATCTGGCAGTAAGGCATCTGATCGGCATATTAAAGGTTGAGGGGTGTTAAAACCCCCGCTGAATTGCTGTTGTTCTTAGATCCACTTTGACCTGGGTTAGTAGTAACTTTAGGGTTCGAGCTATGGGCAAATAGTGAACTCCATAACAATAATCAACAGTACATTTATATAGTAAAATGACCAACAGTACTTTTTTAATAGGAAACTAAGCAGCAATACTTTTTCAGCAAAATGACCAACTGTATATTTTCATTTAAAAATGAGTAACACTAAATTTTACAGAAAAATTAGTATCAATGCAACACGAAAAATATAAATTACATTGTTATAGTAAAGTTAACAAGAGATTTTAGTTGTGAAATTACCAGTAATGCATTTAAAAGAATTTACCTACAATATTTTATGATCTACAAAAAAGATATATTTAAAAACATATCTTTACACTGCAAGTATAAAATTATATACAACATAAGTAATAGAAAGCATAAAATTACATAAAAATATTTAGGATCTGGCATTAAATAACCCACTGGGGCTGATATGCCATAAAACAAAATAAACCAAACCAAACCAAACCTAGAAATGGAATAAATTACGTTCAAATTATGTAGTTGAAGCCATCAAACTACGTGCAAAATATTCAGATTTAGGCATTAAATAACCCATAGAGGTGTTGATATGCCGTTAAACTAAATCAACCAAGGAATCCAATCAAAATATTTAGGTTTCGACATTAAATAACCCATAGAGGTGTTGATATGCCACTAAACAAAATCAACCAATCTAGCCAATCAAAATATTTAGATTTCGGCATTAAATAACCCATAGAGGTGTTGATATGCTGCTAAACAAAATTAACCAAGGAATCCAATCAAAATATGTAGATTTCGGCATTAAATAACCTATAGATGTGTTGATATGCCGCTAAACAAAATCAACCAACGCAACTAATCAAATTATTTAGATTTCAGCATTAAATAACCCATAGAGGTGTTGATATGCCGTTAAACAAAATCAACTAATCAAGCCAATCAAAATATTTAGATTTCGGCATTAAATAACCCATAGAGGTTTTGATATGCTGCTAAACAAAAACAACCAACCAAATCAATCAAAATATTTAGATTCGGCATTAAATAACCCATTCAGGTGTTGATTTGCCGCTAAACAAGATCAACCAGCCAACTAATCAAACAAACAAACGTCGAAAATTACTGAAAAAAATATTAATCTAAAAATTCAGACCAACTTGTCAAATCCAGACTTGTATGTGAAACACAAGCAGGACGACAAAGTAATTCAGATGTGTCTAATCTGTCAGCTGCACAATGTATGCCTTCTCAGACCAATGGTTGAAAATGTCTTCGAGCGAATGAAGCCTGCAGATCATAGCGCGAAGCATGCATCTGAGAAGCTTGCCGTGTGGCTCAGCAGAATGATAAAGAACTGTATTAAAAAAAAAAAAACAAAAACAAAAAAAAACAGAAACCACATCACTTGAGGACTTCCAACAGCATCAACAACTAAAATCGAGGTCATGTCTACCCCGAAGAAGATAATGACATATTAAAGATGTTTCAAAGTTTAGGGAGAAATCTCCACCCCATCAATGCTGGAGAGAGAGAGAGAGAGAGAGAGAGAGAACTTGAGAAAACCATTTTTCTGAAAATTGTTTTAATAGAAATATCTCATAAATTTCAATGGTCAATAACACTGGCTGATCGGTCAATTAATACCGAATGTTTCCTTGTAAGGAAACACCTAACATTAATATTACCATTACTATAATTTATATCCCCTTTACGCCTTTCTTCCAATTTCTTTGTTTTCAATTTCTTTCCTGTGTCGATTACATCGCTTTCTAGGGAATGACTAACATTATCGCACAGCCAAATTAGTATTGTTTACTTCAAAGAAGGATAGACAAATTCGTGTAGGTCTTGAGTTTTTCATTAAACAATTCAAGCGATGAATAATTAAGCTTGTCCAGGTGGAAGATGGAACGTTACTTGGTTGAAAGCTCTCTTTATGCGACGTCGTACCAATATATAAGTTATAATAATATATAAGTTGAACAACTACATTGAATCAATAGCTGCATCTACTGCAAGTTAAGTTGGTTCACTGTGACGTGCCAAAAGTTATTTCTCGGCAGAGATCATCTTACACATCTACAAATCTACCATTCATCCTTGTATCGTAGTCATATCTTCTCCGCTGACCCTGACATTCATCTCGAGGTTCTCAAAACGATCCAAAGAAGACTTTTTAAAGTAATAGTTCCTGAATTGTCTTCTCGACTGCAGAGACTTTCTTACAAACGTGATATGGCTACAGTCTATCTTTTCTACAAATAATTTCATGGTAACTTTTCTGGTGAGCTATCTTCCCTGATGCCTTGACAACATGAATTTAAACGTGTTACTAGATTGGCATTTAGGTCCCACCCCTTTACTGTTGAAACAGTTAAATGCAACTGCCACCTTCAACTCCAGCAGGTTTTTACTCGCGATTCCCTACCTCTGACTTAGTGAAACGCATTAGTATGAAACTGTTCCAGAAGTTACACAGCATCACATTCTTCAAATGTAGTGCGGCTCTTGGAGTGCCTAATAATAACTGCTTTGGGTTTCCCCAGGACCTTTTCGAAAATGGTTCCGTTCTTTTGCACTTGAACAGAAAACCGTAGTGGAAAATTTGATCTCTTACTTTTTTCTAAGATCGTGAGGCACACAAACGTCGGAACGACTCACGTTTTTAAAAATGTCTTTAGTGCCAGAAGGTATTTCTTGTCAGAGTCCATCTTACCCATCTAGAAATCTACCATTTGTCTTTGCATTGAATACTGTTGCCATATCTGGTCCGCTGCCCCCGCTGTTCATCAAGAGGTCCTCGACAAGATCCAAAGAAGGATCTGCAATGTAATCGGTCCTGACCTGGCATCTCGATTACACTTTCTCACAAAACGTGATGTGGCTCCCGTCTGTCTTTTCTACAAATATTTCATGGCTATTTCTCTGACGAGATTTTTTCTCCTGGTGCTCCGGCTACATGAATTTAAGTGTACTACTAGATTGGCATCTAGGTCCCACCCATTTACTGTTGAAATAATTAAATATAACCGTCACTTCTTCTCAGTTTCTTTCCACGCTCTTCCCGGTATTGGAACACCTTTTCTTTCAGTTGGTTCCCTGATAGCTACAACCTTAAAAAATTTAAATGCAACGTCAATCGCCATCTTCTATTGCCTTGATCCCCGTCCTTTCTTTCTTTCCGCAATTTCCCTACACAAGATCTTTTTTCTCTCTCTGTTTCACTCCCCGTAACCGTCTGCGTATTAGTGGCACTCCTGCCTCCTTGGAATTAAATGCGTAAAAAAAAAAAAAAAAAAAAAACAGAAGGCGTCAATAGATTTAATTGGAACAATAATTTTATTTCTCACATACACTCGCACACACACAATGTGTCTATCAAGCAGACTTGTTTCCCTCACGCAAACAAGGACATTTTTCTCATGGCTGGTTTTAATGTTTTTCCTTACGATACAATTGCGTACTCATTTAATTTCTTTTGTTAATAACATGCATTGTCGTCTGCTTTATATTCATTATTTTGTAGTTTATTTTTTATCCGGGCTCACACTGAGTCCACCAATGTTGTTTACGGGATAAATGTTCCAGGAGCTCGTAAATATTTACTATCTAAATTGTTAATACACCAAACATAATTGTTCTTACCCAATATTTACCCAAACATACTTGTATCTCGAAACACAAACACACGCACACACACACACACACGCACACACACAAACACACACAAACACATATATATATATATATATATATCGTTAAATATGTTAGATTAAATAATTATTTAACTTTGTTTTTCAAGCATTCTTACGTTTTCCCGTTTTTCTCTAATTTTCATTGTCGCAAGCACTTTAGTCCACACCTTCAGTCCTTTTCAAGCGGTTTTTTTTTGGGGGGGTTTGTAGGTCTTTTCTCATGTTTTAACTGTTTAAACAGTTTTTTTTATTTTTTTATTTTCGTGTTATTTTGAATAGGAGCGTTCAATCCCAACCTTCGT